CGCACACCTGATATCTATGGTCGGCCTGCAAAATTTAGGCTACCTATATCTATGCTGAAAATTCCATACTTGTACTAAAAATACAGTGTGGAATCAAGCTGTAATAAAAAATTATTTTATGAGAGAATCGGGAAGGCGAGAAACACATTCATCAACCTGAAACCAATCTGGAAGTCTTCGTCACTCAGCCACCATCAACAACAAAATTCAGTCGGATTTTCAATACAAACGTCAAGTCAGTCAGCTCTTCTATACGGATCAGAAACTTGGCGGGCGGGTCACAAAGAATATTTCCAACAGCCTGTTGTAGACCTTTATCAACAAAACTGTATTCACTCTATACTGAAGATCAGATGGCCGGACAGAATCACCAACAAGGAACTATGGGAACAAACAAACAAAACAAGAACCAATCGGCCAACAAATATGCCGGAGAAAGTGGATTGAGATGGATGGGAATGGACACTTGCTGAGGAGGCCACTGGGTGACATCGCTCGAGTGGAACTCGACAGAATGGGAAGCGACGAGTGGGACGCCAGTGCAAGGGTGACATGGAGGAGATCGTGTGAAGAGGAGTTGAAAGAGTATGGACTAACTAACATGGATGCAGGTGAAACGTACAGCAGAAGGAATACAGAAGCAAGTGGAGACGTGCAGTTGAAACCCAATGTTCCACTAGAAACCCAAGGGAACAACAATAATAATATGGTAGAGAAGATTTGTTGCTCAGGTAGATAATCACGTCCAAGGCCACCAGGAGATAGGATTAATAAAATCGTGGAAAAATCTAAAAGCTCACTTCGAATTGAAGTATGCGCTGAAGATGTCACCTAGTAGGGTGATGAAAGCTTCGCAAATTAACTATCCAGCTCAGAGAACACAACCACATCAAAATAATAACTTTATGATTATTTGGTTCCATTGCGTTTCGAGTGGAAAGAAAGAACTTCGAACCCGATCTTTAAAGATTCAATAGCAGTGAGGTGTATATTTTATGGAGTGAAGTTGCTAATCTCACGCCCAACCTTCCCTCGTTTACCAAGAGGGATTAAGACAGGCCAAACCAAGATTTCGAAATGAGTCAGCCAAGAATCAAATCCTGGACTATATTCATATTTGGTGAAGATTCTGCCACTGGACTACGGAAAAACAAAGGGAAATTATGTTGAATTTTTACATGTAACTGTCTAATTTCAAAAATGTAACTAGAATTCATAAAATGTAACCACTGACGGGACTGATTGTTCTCATATTCGAATCAATGAACTCCATCGGTTACAACTTTTCATTCTTCGAATTTCTTAAAGAATTTGGCCACTTATTAGTGACTATGTGCTGTGTGTGAGTCGGTGGTACAGTGGTTAAGACACTCACCGACCATACAAATGGTCCGGGGTTCGATTCACGGCCGACACACACCTGATATCATTGGTTGGCATGCTAAATTTGGGCTACCGATAGCACATGCTGAAAATTCCATAATCGTACAAAAACACTGTGTGAAGTCAAGCCATAATAGAAAAAAATAGTAGCAGTTTGTTAGCGCCAATAACTCGAGTATTATCAAGTTCTCATCTAAGAGCGCGTCATGAACTAAGACGCCTAAGAAGTATTCGAATAGTGTTAAGTATTATTGAGATCTTATCAAATTGCACATATGTGAATAGTATGAAGCATACATAATGCGGTAGAAAATCAATAAATTTATACATGCCGACTGAGTTCTATCAGTCATGTTTGTAATGTGGCCAAGGTCGCATTCCGTGTGACTCACCATCACTTCGCACTTTGAATTGTTGATATTAGATGGTTTGAGGTCAATTTGTCAGTTACTGACTAGTGCCTAATCAAAGTATCTAATACATTCCTACAGCAGGTCAATCGTGTACCCGAATAGCCCACTTGCAACGTCTCTGACTGCGGAACCGGGTGATGCAGGTTCGAATCACAGAAGGGAAATGAGTTTTTTCAAGGGTGCAGATAAGCCGTACTAACTGGTCAGTGCCACGAAATCTGTGTTAAAGGCTTCCTGCCAATTGCCTCCAACCATGTAATATCCCTAGTTTTTGGTTAGTCTTTACCCCACAATCTTAAAATAACTTTATTCTGCAGTTATCATGCCTATGGTGTATACTCTACGCCTTCTGAATGCTGAAGTCTTATTAGTTGGTAGCTCTTTAAACTCGTCTGTTGACCAGTTCACTGATTTGGGGGATTTGTATCAGTCAGCTCTAATGAACTCGCTTCTGAGGGGATCTCAGTAAAGATACAAAAGGCTAGTATGATGCTTGCCAACTGACGTCATCTCCGGTGCGAACGAGATATTCAGTTATTCATAAAGAACAACAATGGACCAGTTTGGCCTGTCTTCCTTTACAGCAGTGGAAGACAAAGATGTGAGGGCGCCAGCTACCTTTGATTGAAGATATCTGTGTTCTATCTTCTGGACTAAATGTTTGTACTTTGATGAGTAATACTGAAGTTATTTGCACAGTGATAGGTAAGGAGGAAAAGCTCACAGATAGGGTTGTGAAGTTGCATCGTTTGAGGTGACTAGGGTATGTGTCAAGCTTGTCAAGTCATCACCATCCATACTGATTGACGTTATCTGACATAGAATTAGGTTGGAAGACAGTTAGAGATAGTCAAATCGAAACTTGGCATCAATCTACAAAGTTTTTTAAAGTTAGTCTGAGTGAACCATACAGTGAGATAGAGACTACCTGGTTGGGGTCATCAAGATGCGAATCACTAATGACCTGAAACTGTTGGTGTTATGGCTAAAAACCGTTGCAGAATGGAGCAGATGTATTCACGCTTTGTAATCTCCACGGTCCAATCACTGAGACTGAATTCTATAACTTTTGAGAATTCACAATGTCATTGGTGGGTATTCTTCCTCACAGCCAACTTGCTGGACCCCACCAGTCACAACCTTCCCCTGGAAATTCACAGTGCACTAAAGTGACTAATGGTCGTGCTGCCGTATATATCGCAAATTGGCAGAATTTTGAAGTAAATGGGTCGTTCGATTCTGTCCCTGTGACTGGGTGATCAACGAGATAGCTATGTAACTTGAAGAAGATCTTAGGTTCAATCCTTGACAGTGAGGTCATTGGCCCGTACTGTGGAAGAATCACAGCAAGGACGAAACAGTTGTCTGGTATTTTCGGGTTCTCTAAGTGCGGTCAGTTTATGATTATTATTGAAATAATAAATCACTTGGTTGACGTTCACTAGTCGCAAGTTGTTCTCTACCTCTGTAAAAGATAAGATCCCCGTCTAGCCGCCTCGATGTGCATCTACCAGTCCACCTGCTCTTGTGGATAAAGGTACATTGACCGTAGTCAGAGGACGCTTTCCACACGGATACAAGAACATATTCCAGCAGTATGGTTCTACAAGGGAGAAAGGAAGTGTGTGCAAATCTCTATTCTGGAACGCCTGATCGACTTCTGTCACTCGGTCAACCCTGACCATGATTTTAAGATCATATATATTGTATCCTTGCTAAGGATAGACATTTATTTATTTGGTTTATTTAGTTACCTATTCCATGTACTTTTCCCTTATTACTACGATTATTATTATTATTACTACTACTACTATTCTCACTCTGAATCTTTTCCACTTGACCCACTTGTCATTTTAAAAGCAAAATTATTAATTCTCATATTTTTCATTATAATAGAGGCTTTTGTATTTCCAATGAATGAAAAAACAAAACGAGATTGTTTTTACTGACGTTTCGCTATTTAATGCTCCTGCTATAGCTTTCTCAAAGTATTATTAACCGGAATTTACAAAATCTCAGCTAATAACAAAGAGTTAGCGGGTGAGCAATACCACTTAGGTCAACTTAAAAGGACATATTGAAAGTCAAAATAACAATGAAGATCGTTCAAACCAAATATCAAAGGTGATAGTATATCTGTTATTATATCAAAATAAAGTTTACTAACTTGATCATCGTTCGTTAGTCTGGGATCATTTAGGTTGTCAAGTTGGCGAACGGGTAAAGATAACAAAATCAAGTGTAGACGACCGAGACTGACGAACGATGATCAAGTATTTCACAACCTACACTTAGTTCGGTTACCTTTACCCGTTCGCCAACTTGACAACCTAAATGATCCCAGACTAACGAACGATGATCAAGTTAGTAAACTTTATTTTGATATAATAACAGATATACTATCACCTTTGATATTTGGTTTGAACGATCTTCATTGTTATTTTGACTTTCAATATGTCCTTTTAAGTTGACCTAAGTGGTCTATTTGCTCACCCGCTAACTCTTTGTTATATATATGTATATATGCTGAGATTTTGTAAATTCCGGTTTAATAATACTTTGAGAAAGCTATTAGCAGGAGCATTAAATAGCGAAACGTCAGTAAAAACAATCTCGTTTTGTTTTTCATTCATTGGGAAATACAAAAACCTCTATTATAATGAATATCATATACCCAATGCCCAAATTTTTTCAAACCGTTAAAAGTGAACTTGGTTTGGACATATATAAATAATCTCATATTTTTTATTTTCACAATATTGAATTCTATCTTATAAAATTTCACACCATGTTATGTAACATTTTATATTAGTCTACTAATCGTGTAATTATGTACCCCTTTCCAAAATCTATACACCTAATGTATTGTTCTATATATGACATTAATTATTTTGCCACTTGGCATTAAACTGTGATTATCATCACAAATATTTTAATTGCATTTCATACTATTATTATTCCATGTATTCACACCTTTGACCTAATTCCCTCACGGGATATAATTTCTTTATAAAACCATATATATACGATTGTACGGCTTGATAATAAATTTATTGAAAAGAGTCTCTTCGCTGAATATTGTGTTCTCAATGCTACAATGGGAATTATTAATTTAATTAATTCATTAATTACTAATAAATAAAATAAGGTATTTTACATAAATTTATTGAATAATTATATATATTTTAAAATATAGCTACTTACTTGAAGTCTTTGCCAAATAGAAATTAGCCGTTGTGGATTCTCTGGATGATTAGCGTCTGTCTGACAGGTACAATGATGTGCAAGCATGCCTAAATCGTAGGCTAAAACTGTTGTGAATGTTGCCTCCTTGAAAAACAAAATAAAATAAAGTATGAGAGGAAGAAATCAAAAAGTGTGAGGTCAAAGAATATGCAGAGATAAATACATTTTTGCGTTATTCAAGTATTGGTTTGTAGGGATTTAGATGACTAGTTACAGGATTTCGTCATGAGCTGACATTGGTTAGAGAACCATTGAAAAACCAACTAGGGAGTACTGGATAGCAGGGTGTACACACCGGCTTAATGGTCTATGCACTCGCCTTGTAACCACAGGGTCCTGGGTTCGAACCCAGATGGATGCGTACTACTGAAGAGTCCTAAACTAGGACGAAACAGCTGTCCAGTACTTCCAGGTTTTGAAATGGTTCTCTAGCCCAATTCTTTTGTATTCCTCTGCGTATAGGAATGCAACATAAAGCTTCCAGCCTTCACCTTTCAAGTTTCAATAGGAAAAGACGTTATTCTTTTTCTTTTATTTACGGGGGTCGCTAGACCAACTCCCAGTTTTTCCTCTTTTTCGGGGTTAACATCGGCTAGACAAGGTTTAGTGCGTTGGTGGCACAGCGGTTAGGACGCTTACCGACCATGTACATGGTTCGGGGTTCGATCCTCGACCGATGCACTTCTTTACCTCTCAAAGCCAGTAAGTAATAAGACGGGTAAAAAGGAAAGGTTGGGCATGAGGCTAGCAACCCCATCCTGTAGAAATAAACACCACTGCTACCGAAACTTCAAACCTCTAGCTTGAAGTCCCCTATGTTCCACTGAAAACGTGAGGGAAGAAAAGACAAGGTTTACAAGTGAGTCAGATGGCAAACATTCTGCCTTCAAATTACCTATGCAAGCAAAACATACTTTTATTTTAAAAATGCTTCAGTCAATGCTCCATTGTCATTCTGCTATTTTTAAAGAATATATCTCAATAACATTTTCTTTTCGTAATATGGAAGCTAAAACTGAAAGTCTGTATAAAGTATAACAACTCGAAGGGGAGACTATCTTGATAATGAGAAGTTGTGCACAGTTATTTTTGGTCTCTCTGTCAAAAATATCTATTTATCTATCTATCTATCTATCTATCTATCTATCTATCTATCTATCTATCTATCTATCTATCTATCTATCTATCTATCTATCTATCTATCTATCTATCTATCTATCTATCTATCTATCTATCTATCTATCTATCTATCTATCTATCTATCTATCTATCTATCTATCTATCTATCTATCTATCTATCTATCTATCTATCTATCTATCTATCTATCTATCTATCTATCTATCTATCTATCTATCTATCTATCTATCTATCTATCTATCTATCTATCTATCTATCTATCTATCTATCTATCTATCTATCTATCTATCTATCTATCTATCTATCTATCTATCTATCTATCTATCTATCTATCTATCTATCTATCTATCTATCTATCTATCTATCTATCTATCTATCTATCTATCTATCTATCTATCTATCTATCTATCTATCTATCTATCTATCTATCTATCTATCTATCTATCTATCTATCTATCTATCTATCTATCTATCTATCTATCTATCTATCTATCTATCTATCTATCTATCTATCTATCTATCTATCTATCTATCTATCTATCTATCTATCTATCTATCTATCTATCTATCTATCTATCTATCTATCTATCTATCTATCTATCTATCTATCTATCTATCTATCTATCTATCTATCTATCTATCTATCTATCTATCTATCTATCTATCTATCTATCTATCTATCTATCTATCTATCTATCTATCTATCTATCTATCTATCTATCTATCTATCTATCTATCTATCTATCTATCTATCTATCTATCTATCTATCTATCTATCTATCTATCTATCTATCTATCTATCTATCTATCTATCTATCTATCTATCTATCTATCTATCTATCTATCTATCTATCTATCTATCTATCTATCTATCTATCTATCTATCTATCTATCTATCTATCTATCTATCTATCTATCTATCTATCTATCTATCTATCTATCTATCTATCTATCTATCTATCTATCTATCTATCTATCTATCTATCTATCTATCTATCTATCTATCTATCTATCTATCTATCTATCTATCTATCTATCTATCTATCTATCTATCTATCTATCTATCTATCTATCTATCTATCTATCTATCTATCTATCTATCTATCTATCTATCTATCTATCTATCTATCTATCTATCTATCTATCTATCTATCTATCTATCTATCTATCTATCTATCTATCTATCTATCTATCTATCTATCTATCTATCTATCTATCTATCTATCTATCTATCTATCTATCTATCTATCTATCTATCTATCTATCTATCTATCTATCTATCTATCTATCTATCTATCTATCTATCTATCTATCTATCTATCTATCTATCTATCTATCTATCTATCTATCTATCTATCTATCTATCTAACAGGTTAGCAGCTTGTATTCATTATTATTTAATATTATTCCGAGTGAAATATGATGCCTCAGATATACATCTCCCCTTCACGAAGTTCTCTGCAATCTTCACTTTTGTTGGCTCTACAATCTCCAAAAACAAAACATTTATTTCCTCTCCTCACGTTGTCTCCTCTATATCGTCATTGGACCCACATCCAATTGAGGGTCTGATGCGTTGCGTCAGTCATTAGATTTTCTCAGAGTTTCTATTCAATCCATCAATCTCTATTTCTTCCTGGATAGATGTGGAGTATCAGGTGTTTAGTTTGTTCATTGCTAGAGATCATGGTTACTTATCTTTTCTGATCAACTGGTCACCTGATCTTCAGTATTAAATGAAGTCAACTATGTTTATTTTTTTGATTATAACTTGATTCCACAGAGTACTTTTGGTAGAAGTATGGAATTTTTTCAGCATGTGATATCGGTAGGTCAAGTTTTGCAGGCTGACCATACATATCAGGTGTGCGTCGGCAGGGGATCGAAACCCAGACTATATGCATGGTCGCCGAGAGTCCTAACCGCTGTGTCAACGACGCACAATGCTTAAAGTCTAAAGGGTTCTGGAAATTCTCATCAAAATAGAATCATTGAGAAGTCTCATTGATGACAATGCCAATTAAATCTTTGGAAAAGGTGATTCAGTTAAACTATAACAACCACTAACAATAAATCGATGGTTAAACCTTTAAAATGAATCTCAATACAACCGATTACATCGCTGATCATGAATAGCTTGTATGTATCTCATGTTCATAATTTCCTCTTCATATGGTTTCCAAAGTTTTGATCTAGTTATGAAATTATCTATTATGCTTCACCAAAAGATTTCAATGTACCGCCTAAAGTGGAATAAGACTGTTCAAGTAGACTTGGGGAGCATACCGTTAAGTAATAAATTTCATGAGTCTCACTGTCTCCTGACCTGTGTGATTCAATCGAGGGGGGGTTTCGCCATCTACGCAGGTGATCTAGGATTTAACTCACTGCTGACACATTCCTTAACTTCGTTTAGCCAGCCAGTCATAGTAAGCCTGATAAGAAGGTGAGAATAAGCGTGAGACTAGCAGCCCCCCACCCTGTGAAATAAAACTTCACAGCTCAAGACTGAAGTCTTTTTGATGTTCCACTCGTTGTGAAAAGACATGAAATAATAATAATAATAAGACACTTGATGGTGGTCGCTATAGCTTAACTGCTCTATAGATACCTCAAGTTTGTAGTTCATCTCAAAAATCCACTTAGTCTCATTCATCCAATCACAAAATTGAATTAAATAAATAATATGATCCATTGCACAAGAGGTAGTTGCTCTCGTGGCCCAAGCGGACTAGAGGCTAACGCTTTGGTGCTTGAAACTATGGTCACTGGGTTCCAGCCTCGGTGGGAACATCATCTCTCGCCTACTGTGGAATGCAGATATATCCATTAGCTGACGAGTCCTAAATAGGACAAAATGCGCGTTATCCTGGATTTCATTGCTAGTCACCATCCATAAATTAAATTGTAAAATTGATGCCCTTTTGTTTTCAAAAGATAATTAAGCACGTTAACAGAAAGTCATTGTGTGATGATGACAATTTTGAAGAGTTGATTTACGGTGATTTGATCGACTTCAAGACTGATTATGAATTGACTTTAGTCAGAGAAACATTCGGAAACCAATCGAAGAGTACCGGATAGTTACTTCGTGGTTGCTTTTGAACCTTCATCCGTACGCAAATCGCTTCTCATTGCCAAACATTAAATTCAAGAATTTCAGTTTTATAGATGATCTCACTGACCAACTAGTTACTGGGACCTAATCCAATGGTGCATCGGTGGTACAGCGGTTAGGACACTTGCCGACCATGACCATGGTCCGGGGTTCGATCATCAGCCGACCCCCTCCTTTAACACGCTAAGCTAGTGATAAGACTAGTAAAATGAGAATGCTGGACATGAGGCTAGCAATCTCATCCTGTAAAAATTAACACTGCTACAGAAACTTCAAGCCTCTAGCTTGAAGCACTACTTTTCACTGGGAAAGAAAATCTAATGGTCAGCTCATGAATTCCAGCGTCTACCAATTCACGACATAGCGTGACGAATAACCAATGTTATTTGAGGCAACTATTTATCCTCACACCGCATCTATTGGTGTGCTCTGATGAAGAGTGTCGAACAAGAATAAAACAGCTGTCCAACACTCAGCTTTGCAAAGGTTGTCTAACCAATGAAGGCCCATGATGAAATCCTGTAACCAAGCACAAATTACCTTGTGATATTGGTTACTTCACCAAAACATATCAAAACAGTGATGAGTAATTCAGTTCTAACTAGATGGTGGGGGGGTGAGAGTGTAGATTCAATGGTTTAAACTAAGGTTGCGCAATGTGAAAGATGTTCACCGAAAAAGAGATGTTAATCAACAACATGACGACAGGTATTAACATATTTTAGGCAGAAAGTAGGTGCAGAGAGTGAATAAAAGCTTAGTCAAGAATACGATGTTAATAAATGTCTAACGAAAAATGTCAAAAATAGTGAAAACATCAAAATATTG